TGCTTCGATTCCGGCACAGTGCCCTCTCGATGGCTTATAACAGATTCTCACAGGAACTCGCGCGTTTCTTCAAGGCCCTTCTGACAGCATGCTGTTCAAGCTATGGCCGCTTAGTAGGCAGTTTCCCGGCCCGCTGGGTTACAGTGTGTGGCGGAGTGGCCAGTGAAGCACCCGCGCACAACATTCTCAGTTTATCCTCCGTGCATACATTGCACTTCATGTTGAACTGCGAACGGAGGCATGTTGACATGTGCGGATGTCTGAGATGAAGCAAGCGGGGTTGACGAATGGCTTGACAAGTTGGCAGGATATCGTGAAACGCCTTGTCAGGCAAAAGGAAGTCGCAGCAAGTGCTTGAGAGCTTTCCCCCGCAGCCAGGAATATATATATATATATATATATATATCTTGACTTTTCGTCCTGTCCGCTCGGCTGTAGATAGTTCGGCGTGGGTTGCTTCCGGTTCTAGCTGGTCGCGACGCAACCTGACAGTGCGATGCAAAAGGAGTACACAGAAAATCGTCCGAATTTTATTGTCTTATGGCGCACACCCCAGCAAGTGAAAAGACATGTTGGTTGTGACATAGGAAACGACCGAGACTTGGACGCTTTTTTGTCAGCCCCGCAATCTATCTCAACGAGTTAGCACGTGCAAGTCGCACCATGATGAGTTGTTGAATGCTTCTCCCTGCATTGTATCCTCATCCTCCTTTTTCTGCTGGGCGTCTTTCGCCACCCTAACAAAAACTGGTTGTCGTGTCCCCAAGCAAGGGTGACTTGTTGCACCTAGATGGATCCTCGACTTCAAGAAAACGGCTGTGGAGCCCTGCGGAATCTGTGTGCCGACAACGACGATTTCAAGGCTCTAGCGACTTTTTCTTCAATGCGTGTGGATGCTGAATGTGACAGTCAGAGCTGTGCAGATCCGCACGGTCGCGGCCGGTGGAGCAGAGCGAGCTCCAGCCCCAAACGCAAGATCTAAACACCGCGACGACCCTTCGCAGAGCCCTCGTCGGCTCTTTCAGGCTTGCAACGCTTTAGCGCGACACGAGGATCTCCGAGTGCTGGGCGCCCGGCGCCCTCTTCAGAGCCAGGAGCTCATTTCAATCTGCTCAATGGCTGCTGACCTGCCAGGCGGCGGCAGGCATGCAGCGCTTTGATGAACATGTCATCCGTGAGCCCGGAGCGCATCGAGGACCAGCGATCTGTGAGCCGGATGGGTCATCCCTCTGCTGCTAATGTGTCCAGCTCAGGACTGCCATGATGAAATTCTCCAGGCGGATGCCGTTAGCCGACTCTGCACTGCTATTGAGGCCCACAAGAAGGCGAGGAGTGGAGGCTGTTGTGAGGTGCAGGAGGATGCTGAAAGTGCATGGCCCAGGAGCTCTCAGTCGTGGAACCTGTGTGGATCCCAGCACGGAGGAACCCTTCACCCTTTTGGGGTTCCTGGAGATGGCTGCTTGTTGCCAGGCCTGCGCAGCTCTTCGAAATCTAATCGCCGGTGCGCAGGCCGTTGGTGCATTCAACGCATTTTGCGCGGGTTTCTCCTCGCAAAGCTCTTGGAGGTTGGTGACACACGAGGCTGCAGTCGGTTTCGATTCGCTTTGCAATGCTTTACATCTCGCATCGAATCACGTAGAGAGGGTCCTGGGCCTCTGATCTCTTGCGACCAGCTGGGCTTACGCACACTTGTGTGACTTATGTTGTGGAAGGTCTGACATACAAGCAGATCCTCGATGAAGACTTGGTCAGGAACCTGGAATAGGGCACGCCCGTGTTGACGGCGCAAGGTCGGCGACTTGGTTCCGGAGTGCTCACAGGCAGTCTCGGCACTTTCCAAGGTCAAGCGTCTCGTGCAGACCATTTTCTTGAATCTGGATCACAACCTTGTGTTCATGCCCAAGCCATGAATCAACCTGATGCAGGCTTGAGATGTGAGTAGCACTTGCCATGCGCCAAGTCCTTCTTCCAGGCAGCATCATTGCTTGGAAGCACTTCGTCATGTGTTCGAGCCCCGGGTACATGCGGTGCCTCCATCGCTGCCAGTCTCCTGAAACTCCCAACTTCAAGGTGCGGCTGGGAGAAGGGAGCCCTTTTGTTGGAGCGCAACCGGGGTCTGGCCCTAAACTCTAAACCCTAAACCTTGACCTGGAGCATATGCTCCGACAGGAGCTCAGGCCGTGAAGCGATCCATGGAACGCGACGAGCAAAGGCCCTCATGCCATGCCCTGGTGTGGAAGAGCTGCGATGGCAAAGATTCGCAGGAAGGTGCACGACCCCGTCATACGGGAGCGAGGCTGCAACATCTTGAAGGGTGCAGGCCTTAGCCGCTTAGCCAGCAGAAGCCATGGCTCCGACTCGCTTGAGAACTTGAGTGCATTGCTGAGGCCTGGCCTTAGGCCCCGGCCTTGCTTTCGGGTTTTGCCAGAGACTCAAACCGGAGCTGGCAGGCACAGCCACGGGGTCACGGTCCATCCTCGAAGATGACCGGCCGGACGGGTCGGGTGCCAGCACGTCCGAGCATCATCGAGCATCTTGGGACCTCAAAACTTCATCATCTCAGGTTGAAGCGCATCAAACATGCGATGGAAAGCTTCCGGAGCCTGAAGGAAGTGCAGAAGTCCGCGCTGGAGGCCTGTCTCCGCCTGCAGCGTGCTTGCCCGCGGGCGCCCTTCTTGCGGAGGCTCTGATGGCATTGGCCAAAGGTTGGCCGAAAGAAGGAGCTCAGAGGATCAAGGCTTTGGGGAGGGGTTTCGGTCACGTGTGCATTGTGCATCCCATTGTGCCTGTGTCAGGCTGTTGGATGTTTCAAGGAGCGCGAGTGCTTGGGAAAAGGGGGAGGAAGGGAGGTTTTACCTCTGAGCTTGCGTTGGTAAGTTGGAAGCACCTCCAAGAGCTCAGAGGACTCATGCTCAAATGTAACTGCCGTTTCCCCTCCTCTTAAGGTGTGTGCACCTCCCAGTTGCACAACTTCAACTGCGACCTGTGCTTTGATGGCACGTCTTTCCCCTTCGCCATCCTTCGCCAGTTACCCACCCCGCCTCGACCCCCTTACCTACCTGATATAGACGATACCTTGGACACGTCCTCCTTGGGATTGCCTTCTGCGTAGATTGACAACTTTATGCATTTCAGGACATTCTGGCCGCAATGTCAAATCATTCGCAGGACTTGACACTGCTTGCCGGCATCTTATCGGACTGTGGAATGCCAATTGTGTGCGTTCTCGAGTGAACAGCAAGGTCAGTGCTTGCGGTGTCATTCGCCAGCTCGCCGTCAATGGCATCTTGATCGAGGTGTGGTCGGCCTTTTGCACCAGTCGCTGCTGGATCTCAGTTGCCAGTTGCAAGGAAGCAAGGCCAGTTCTGGAAAGGTACATCAGGCAGTTTCAAGAGGAGGCTGACGCTGTCCAATACCAGTTCTCATGATGGAACATTATTGAATCTTACAGGTGCGCGTGCTCGTGCCGGCGATGCACTCACTCGCTGAGATGGTCAGCCTCATGGAGCCCACAGCACCTTGACGTACTTGGCTATCCTGCATCGCCACGCATCACAACGCAGCGACCAAAGCGGGAACTCAGGATGCAGACAAAGGCTTCGCACACGACGTGTCGAATTCTCTGGCATCGTCCTTGGCTGCTGCTGTTTGGAGTTGGGTACTCCTATCTATTTGCAGGGTTGTCAAGGTGGTGACCCAAACCGCAAGTTGGCGACATCAAGTGACAACTAACACGACGCAGTCGGAAAGAAGGGAGCCACAATCCTGAACAAGCGACGAAGCCCTCAAACCGTAAGCACCACAACATCAAGGAGTATGCCGGGTCGTACAGGCCAAGTTTGCCTTTGCGTTCGATGAATGTTGAATGATTTTGAAACCAGCTGACCGAAGCTATCCGGGGCATTCCGGGGCAAAGCTGTCAAGGTCGCACACAAGCGGCTCGCACACGTGCAGGCCTGATGCTGGGCACAGCTGCAAGGGATTGCAGCAAGGAGAGTGAGATGCCTTCCGTTCCAGCACTGCAGGCGGCTGGCCTCAGCATACTTCGTGGGTGGGCTGCCGTTGGTGGGCGCCCCATCGCACCCACGCCGTGTTTCGTCCTCAACCAGCGACACGCGGCGCTCGTGTGAGGTGGCATCGGGCTCCTCGCGGCCACCGAGGCCAGGCGGCCGGGAGGTTGCAACGTACAGCGACAGCCTTTGTGCGTACAGAAGAGGAACAGAACGATACCCACGAGCAGAACGAAATGAAATCCAAGCGAAGGGAAACCGAAGAGAACAGTATCTAGGGAGATGCCATGTAGTGGTGTAAAGCCCATATCTGAGCGGTCCGATGGCCCGTCCCAGTGGTGTGTGGCTTCCATGGAGGGCTTAGGCGTCCCGGCAGCAGTTCAGATCAAAAAGAGGTTTGCATGCAATTCAGGCCGAAACGGTAGACAGAACATCAGGTACAGGTATACGGTATACCCGTTCATTGAAGACAGCATACTGTAGGAGTGCAGAGCGCCACAACGCATGTGCTTCAGCTTTCCAATGGATGGGTTGCGGCGAGTCGTGTTCGCCTGCTATTTGCAGGCCAGATGTGTGGAGCGAGCACGTGCTCGCCTCGTGTGCGCAAACTGTCCGTTCCATGACGGCTTCAGCGGTTGAGGCGTGGCCATGCTTGAGCACAAAGAAGACGAGGTGCCTCCCCGTCAACTAGCAGCTTTGACTCGTTTGTCATGGTGCAGCTGTCAGGCCGTGCAGGGAATAGCTTGTGAGGTCCTCCGCCGTGTGGGGCTCTGAGACTTGCACTGACACAGTATTGGAGTCTTAGCATATTTGCATTCTCGGCTTGAGTGGAACCCTGCGCGGCAAACCTGCTTCCAAGGTGGCGGCTTCCAGCACACACATGCGCCCGGGATCCTGGTTTGTTGTAGTGTCGCAAGAGAGAGAACATTCAAATGCGGCCAGGCGACAACATCATCGAAGCTGGGCTGTATTCTTTGATAATGACTGCTCAGGACCCATGGAAACCTTAAGTTGGGAGTTCGGAGTGGCAAGAGTCTGCTGCTACTGAAGGAGACATGTCGGGCCAGCCCGCAGGTGCAATGTCGAAGACTTCTCTTCTTGATCAGAAGCGGCGGGTTGCAGGTCTGTCGGCAGAGCCTACAAGCAGCAGGCACATTGCTGGGCTTTATGGCCGGGAAGGGCCAAGGACGGCAGGCCGGGCAGTGCCACTGTGATTCCCCGATGCAGAGAGCACTGTGCCACAAATCCAGGAGGAACGAATGAGGATGATGATGCAGAGTGCCGCGGGGTGCCAAAATCCATGCGAAGTCCTTGCAGAGCTGCCCTCCAGCGTCCCAGGCCAAAGCCAAGGCAGCTGCCATGTCCCCAGAATGTGACAGGGTTGTCAGCGGCCCGTGAGTGGGGTTTGCGCATTGAGGCCGGCACGCCGCCGGTGCCTTACAGAGAGCCTGGCCATGGCGGCCATGGCCATGGCCTGTCCAGGCTCAGGCGCCCCCAGCGCTTTGCCATGTTCTTCTCTGCCTTCTCAGGCAGCGCAGCGGAGCCATAGCCTTTCAAAAGTTGGTAAAAGAGACCGAGCCGGCCTTACGGTAAGTTGATTCGCTGTGCTCGGCGAAGCAGTTGAATATCCTGAATGCAAGTGAGGACATGTCCCAGTTTGCCACCAATGCAAGCGCCCAAGCTGTCAGCCCGTGCGAGGCGATGCTCCTCACATCCGAGGTGCAGGATCTGCTGGTCTTGCACAAGTCGAGCTCTCTCTTTGTACAGGATGCCTGTCATGTGCCGCGGGCTCACTTCTTGTCTCGATGTGATGTGATCCATGCGCCGCCCGTCTCTTTCCCTCACCTTCGTTGATTTGGCTTCGACAGCACAAAGTAGTCTGACAAAGCTCATCTCCCAATGCCTTCTGGCACAGCCGTCAAGATGTGAAAGGGCGGCGGGAAAGGCTCCATGCCTTGTCACAAAGTTTTTCGTCCGATGCCTCACGACAGGCAGGCCTTTGCAAAGTTTCTGCTTTTCGTCTTGGGACATATTGTGTGTGCTGTGCGTGACGAGATGCAGACTGGCTGGAGTGATGATGGCTATCTGCAAAAACCCGATCCTGCACACAGCCTTCTGAACACTGGTTCGACTGGTTCTGGTCTTCATATCGCCTCTGTAGAGCCGCCTGTTGGTGTGGAGTGGCATGAGGAGCAACAGCAGGATATGCCCAAGGATGCCCGGACGGACCATGGAAAGCAGCGGACTTCCACTAGCCGACAAAACATCGGCATGGCAACACGAAAACATGATCCTGCTCTCGCTCCGAAAGCAGGGGGCGGGAACCACATGGGGAATTTCTTCGAAGGGGTCAGTCGAATGCAGCTTCTGAATGTCGCAGGAGGTGGCTCCACAGCGAGCCAAACGCTGCATGGAAAGGAAGTCCTCGCAAAGGTCACTTTCGCAGGTGCAGGCTACAGAGGGACGTCCTCACCTGCCGACTGGCAAGCCGCAACGCTTCAGCGGCGGCCAGCAGAAGATCCGGCAGGCAAGCAGCACAAACAGAGTTCGGAGACTGACAGCAGTAGCAACAGTTCGGAGACGGGCGACGGTACCCATCCTTATCCCGGCAGAAGCCACGAGTGGGCGAAATATGACTACAAGAAGACCACGGGTGAGTTAGAAGGAATGACAGCTGTGGTGGAAGCCATGGACGCTGCCAAGGACTGGACTGCGCTGAGGGCTGCGCCCTCTACAGCTGTGTAAAACCTGTCAGCGTAAGGACAAAGCAGTTGACAAAGCCCGTGCAGTCAGGGTCCCAGCTTGTTCGCCATGCTGTACAATCGGGATGGGAAACATGCTCTTTCTCCGTCCATCTGAGCTCAGGTAGACAAAGCATTCGGGAATCAACAAGCGAAGGTGAAAGAGCTGGGACGAGTCATGGATCACCTGGACGTGTCCGTTGAAAAGTACAAGCAAAGTGTTGAAGACTACTTTGTGCAGCAAGAGGACAGCACGTTTTCACCACTTGCAAAGCGCGCAGGATGACGGAACGTTGAACAAGTTCCTTGAGTCAGTCTTGAGTCACCGCAGATTAGCGAGTAGCATGTAGACAAATACAGTAAAAGGAAAACAGAGGAGCGTTCGACTCAGCCGAATTTCTTGAAGGCTGCAGAGCCTCGCTGAGTCATCCGACGAAGGCTGCAAGGCAACCGATCTGAGCAGCTCTTTTCATCTGCACGCTTGCCATCCCGTGAGGCTGTCCAGTCTATCGGGGTGCTCCCAACGATTCTGACGGTCCTCAAACAGCACCGACGTGCGCTTCCCGAAAGCTCTCTCCGCTTGTCAACTCGCAGCATCTCCGTCTCGCATTCGAGGCAGCGAGGCGGCGAACTTCTTCGCGCTAAGAGTTATCTGGAGCCCGGAGCCCGATTGCGTCTCGCCACAGCTCCTTGCTGAAGGCTCAAGGGTGGCCTGCACTCAAGGCCTTTTGACAAACACCACCTTGATTCGCAGGAATCTCGAGTTCCCCTTGCCGTGCACAAATCCACAGCCGTTTGCACTACGCTTCCTGAGGTCATGCCATTGAGGCCTCATGCTGTCCTTGCTTGCTGCCACAAGCCGGTTCTCACGGCTTCTTGTTGCATGAGACGTTGCTGCAGGCAGGCCTTATTGAGCTGGTCTTCTCGTGTCTGACTCGCTTTCACGGGTGTCCAGCTGTACAGAGTGCGGCTCTTTTGTTGGTGAGCCGCACATCGCTCCAGAACCAGGATGCCAAGGCTATGTACATCGAGGCAAACATCATCCCACTCATGCGGCGACTGCTGGAAGAAGATGACGAATTCTTGAGGGGTCGATGTCTGGGTGCACTTGCGAATCTGGCGAGCAACAACACGAAAGCAGTTGAAAGGATGCCGGACATGGAGGATGCGATCGTGGAGATGCTCTGCCAGCACGACTCTGAACAGCTGCAATGCCGCTGTCTGCAGCTCTTGTGGGCACTACTTCGTGCTGCTAGAAGCAAGAGGCAGAAGCCACCGGTATTTAGCAGTTCTCGGCTGCTGGGTGCAGTCCTCGATGCCCTGGCCAAGCATTCCAAGAGCGAGAACTTGCAGGTCCAAGGCATGGGCTTCTTGTGGAACTTGACTGCTCTTGGACAAGAGCAGAAGCGCTGGGTTCTGGAGCATAATGGTCTCAGACTTGCAGTGGCTGCCCTGGAAACCCATGCAGACAGCCGCCCCGTGCAACATCATGGGTTGGAGCTGTTGCGGAGCCTTTCGTGTCTCGGACCCGAGGCACGGAAGCAGGTTCAGAACGCCAGAGCTGTGGACTTTGCCAAGGCAGCACTTGTGATGAGAGGTGACCCTCGTATTCTTTGTGCAGCTACCGCCTTATTGGGGAATCTTGCCTGTGGGGATCCGGCTGTGAAGCGTCAGCTCTTCGATCAGGACATACCTAAAGAGATACTGTCTGGCATGGAAGACTATGCACGCGATGTCGGCGTGCAAGTTGTCGGGGCATGGGCATTGGGGAATTTCGTCGGAGTCAGTCGTAAGCGTGCTCGGCAGCTTTATGAGCTTGGAGGCAAAGACCGCGTCTTTTTGGCCATGTCTGAGTACCCATTGAATGATAGCATGAAGATGTATGGTACAGCAGTAATTCGTAGGTTGGAGTTGGTGCAGGATCTGACGATGAGTGCTGACAAAATGGAGGAGGATGACGAAGAGGATGCGAATGCAGATGAGATCGCCGAAGGAAAAAGCTTTGCAGAACTGGACAAAGAGGTGGAGGAGGATGCGGGCTCTGAGAGCGAATCGTCTGAAGATGCAGAGCTCCAGGCGAAGATTCAAGCATTGGCTAAGCAGACAGGGCAAGGGCAAGGCGATACTCGAAGTGGGGTTAAACTCGGGAGTGACGACGGAGATTGAAGACGTTATCCGTCAGCCCATCCAGGGAATCCAGCAGGGTGCAGGGAGACCCAGCGAGGCAGTTGCCGCCCCCGCGAACTCATCGTCTTCGTGGAGCCTGCCAAAGTGGTTTTGCCACTCATGTGGCTCATCCTGTCGCATCGCAATGCATGGTGTTTTGTTTGATCTTGAAGATGTGTCCAGTTTTCAGATCATTAGAGTATAGGTGTCCAAATGCATGCCCGAGTATTTGGATGGCCGCGGATACGATACCAAGCAAAGGAAGAGCGATGTAAATTCTTCCGTTATGAGTTCGAGTGGTACACAGGCCAGGATCCACAGCACACGTTCGATGTGCTAAAGTTCCAAGATGGTGGGATGCAGCATACGGGCCTGCACACGTCACATGACCACAAGACCCTGGTCCTGGCCCCGAACTGGACCAATTGGTACTATCCTTCGTCCCATGCAGCACCACTTTCATCCTGGGATCAGGATCCCTGGAACGGCAGGACCAGTCGCAGCACTGTCGCATGGCGGAAGGGAGCGCTCGTGCAGGTGCACATCTTCAACCATCGTGGACATGATCAAGGAGCCTAAGACATCTGGGCCACGAACCTGGGGCTTGCAGGGTCCTCCGCTCCGGAGGTGGAATCTCTGGACAACGCAACAGTACGTCTCGCAGGCCTTGGCCCCAAGGCAGCTGCACCCGGTTCCACGAAGTGGAACCAGTTTTTTTCATCTTTTCCGGACAAGTCGGAAATTCGCTGCTTTGATTTGAGACCGAATTCGTGGAATAAGTGGAAAAAAGTGGTCGCCGGCCGGGGCCGCTCCTGGCAGTTTTAGGGCCTAGGGGCTAGGGCCCCTGCGTGTGAGGTTTGCTTTGGAAGAAGGGAGTTTTGGAAGTTCTGGCTCAAGTCAATCCTCGTACTTCTCGATCTTCAGGACGTTAAAGGCAGACTGTTCTGCACTTTTCCATGAGATAGCGAACCGGCAGATGCACGCAGAACATACGGCAACAAGGTCAGAATCTCAATGCAGTTCTGCGCATCATGCTTGAAGCTTTCTTGGCAAAAGAGTACATGAAGCCCAAGGTGTGTGGCCGGATGCAGCGTCGTGATAGTGGGGAGCATCTTCTTCGCAGAGTGGCTGGCCTTCCACACCTTTTCCAAGCCGCCTCCTGTGTGGGTGCTTGTGTTCAACGCGACCTGGCTGTTGGCAATCTGGAGTTATCTGCAAACAGCTTTGACAAATCCTGGCACACCCGCAAGCCCCGAGTGGGTCGACTGGGCACGAGCTCGCAAAGGGAGCAGAACGGTGCAACAATGGCAAAAGGATGCAGAAGAGGCGGGGATAGGCACATGATGAGGGCGGACACAACTGCATGGCTGTTGGTGCTTGGTGGACTTATACTATATACATATAGATATAGATATATAACACGTGTATGCATGCATGCATGCATGCATGCATGCATGCATGTGTGTATATATATATATATACACGTATGTATGTATTTATGTATGTATGTATGTATGTATGTATGTATGTATGTATGTATGTGTGTATACATGTGCATATGTATATATATATATATATATGTACGTGTATACATATATATATATATATGTGTGTGTGTGTGTCTATATATATATATACACATGTTAATATCAGGGCCCAGAGCAGACTGCAGGAAGCATGTGGTGATTCGAAGAAGTCCTGGTCGCCGGGCAAGCCGACTTGGTGCCGAACCTGTCGAATGGAGCGGCCCGAACGACTGAGCCTCAGACCGAGACACAGAACCGGCTTGAAATCATGGAGTGTTAAGAGCAGGCGCCCATCATTGCAGCTCTTGTGGCACATGTGTGCTGCGCATGGTCTTCCTCCCAGCTGTTGTGAGAAGTGCAACAAGGGCACTTCTGCGTCCTGCCCCAGCACAGGACCATCACTGTCCCTGGGTAGGAAGCTGTAGTGCTCTCAGCTTGCCTTTTGCCGAGCCGCCGAGATCAAGAATGCTCTGCTCAGGCATTGGTTGGCGAAACCACAAGTACTTCCTGCTCCTGAACTGGCACTCGGCTTAAGATTTGCTTTTTGACGGCTTGTTTTTCTGCGGGCCGACTCAGGTGGTGCTTTTGGGCTTGTCTGTCCTTCATGCTGACAATGTTGGGCCCTGATTACACCGTGCTTAGCTGGCGAGTTTCGTGAAGCCCTGCAAAGATGCCGCCCGTCGATGATGGATGCGCTGTCCATCGCTCCTGGCAATCTGGATCTCAACAGGCTATCCGGTGTGGTCATGTTCGGCTGTGCATTCCTGTCACTGAAACCGCCGTGGCCGCAGCACATGTGCAACTGGCAACCTTCTAAGCCTGCCAGTGTGCTGGCACTCTTCTCGATGCTGGCGATCTTGGTCTTCCTCCTCTTGACAGGCAAGTGTCTCTGCTTGCTCCCTTGAGTATCTCGATTTGTGTGAGACAAAGCAGGTATTCTCTTCATGGTCTCGCTATGGTCAGCAATGAGGATGGTGGAGAGCATCTCAAACACGAGGGCATTTGCAACTGCAAGAGCAACCTGCGATCCCCCTCACTGGTCGGGGGTTCACAGCAGTGGGGCAGCATAACTCCGGAACTGCACACGGTAGTCGCGGGGATTGACGAGCTTGAGGGCAAGGAATTGGCCTTGGAGGCTGTGGCTCGAGCGTGTTGAGCTAGAAGAGGCATGCAGTTCCGTCGTGGCTGTCGTTTACACCCTATAGAATCGTAGAAACAAGAGTGAACTCGCGCTATCCGAGCGTTGGGACACTAGCAAAGGGGCGCAAATACTTTCAAAAATGTTAATTCTTAATCGAATACACGGTCAATCTGCAAAAGCAGAAACCAGCGTAGAACATGAGGATGGTGGGAAGCGCTGTCTTCAAAAGCAGGGTCAAAAGCTGCAAACGCACAATTCACGCGCAACAGCACTTGAAGAAGCAGGAGAGGCATTATTCGATGCGTTTCCTCTGACTGGTTGTGCTCGGTTGCTCCAGGAATTGCACGACGGTCGAGGATTATTTCGTGGGCGACAACCCGTGCGCACGACTGCCGAGCGGTTGGCATTGGGCACCCTGCCGTCGCTGAGGTACACCCTGCCCTCGTCCATAGACAACCTGACACAGCTTCTGGGCAAGCCGGGAATCAGGCGATGCTGTGCAGTGCAGTGAGTCCAACTTTCTATCTGCCTGGGGCTTCTCCGAGGTGGCTGGTTCCTGTGCCCTGTGACTGCAGGCAAGCGCCTCGGCTCGTGAGATGCTCGTGAGTGCGAGACCCGCGCAAGGCCATCCGATGGCACAAGCTTCGAACTGAACTGCAGCCTGTCCTTCGAGGCGTGGCACGTGTACCAGCCCTATTATTTGAGTTTATTGCACAAGATTTGTAGGCTTTGCAATCGAGAAAATAGCTGACATTACTGTAGGGCAATCAAATCGTACTTAAATAGTTCTCAGGGCTGGAGTGCTGTCTAGCAGGCGGTGCACGGCGGCGGATATGGCGCCGTTTGAGCCATATGCATCGAGACAGAGACCGCCTCACGAAAACATGTTGTCGAATGCTTGTAGCCAGCATGCAGAGGATGTTTGCGCACCGCTTGCGAAGAAGCCCCGATGCATCAACCGGCGCCAGCTTGGATCAACCAGTGAAATCGGATGCCCGTCGGCGGCAGGCTCGTTTCTGTCATCCGGTAACCTATACAATCGAAGCCAGTCGCTGATGCTGTTCAGGACCACAATATGCCTGAATCCTCCGCATGGAGCTTTGACAGCTTTGCTGTTTCCTTCAAAGCACGTCTATTGAAGCCAGCGCTGCTGCTGCTGCTGCTGCTGCTGCTGCTGCTGCTGCTGCTGCTTGAGGTTCTCCTCAAATCTGCAGGGCGCAGAGCCTTCCAAACCACCCCGAGGTCTGGGGACGTCTTACACAGTGGCCATGGTGTTCTGTATCACAGTGCGGTGAGCTGTGTTCGGTCTCAGGAGTCATCAGAAGGCCCAAGAGGACCAATCTCTCCTGGCTGCGTGTCCTGGAAACTCGAGCTGCTCTTGGCTTTGCGTTGTGAACAAGCATGGAATATCGCAGAGATCACGAGCAAGGCCGCGACCCCTCGCCGGACGTCTAGGTGGCATTTGCCCGGGGTGCGAAGCTTAGACTCAAGAGAGGTTCACGCAAGCAGTGACCTTCACACGCTGATGGCAGGGGACAGTACTGGCCGCCGCATTATGCCGCTGGCAACTACCGCAGAGAGGACAGATTATTCGGCACTCCGTTTTCGTGGAAGCGGGTGCCCAACAGCCAACAGCTGGAAAGAGAACACGCCGCAGGATACGATCTCATCTATGCAGGCGACACACACCTCTGAAGCTGTGAAGCCGCAGACGGCAGAAATATCCAGGCCGGTCTACTAGCGGCAGCGGACAGAAGTAGCAGAGATGCCGTGTGCCTTGTGGCCAGGGAAGGGTTTCGAAGTCATGGATGGGGCCGTGGCACGGGATACTGCTCCAGCCTCAGAGCCGGTGCTGAAACGGTGCTGCAGATCACAGCTGAGATGTACAGTGAGGTCCCAACACGAACTCCATTCGTGGTGTTGACTGGTCGCACAAGGAGCCTTTCCAACGAACGCTTTCGAAGCCTCCCGAAGGGTGCCATGGACAGGAGACAAATGATGTTTTCCGTACGACGTACGGGGACACGCTCTGTTTAAATCGAGCCAGGGCCTAATCGAGGGGAATGTTTGGAATCTCGATGCAAGCGCGGGATCCCGCTGAACCTTCCAAGTCTCCGAACTCATTGGCATCAACTGCCTCCTCCTTCATGCCGGGCTCTCAGATGTGCCCTTTTGACTCGACTTGCTGCCCGCGAAGCGAAGGACTCCACGTGGGAGGCCACGCGGGGGGCCCAAGAGCATCGGGCACGGATGCATCAGGCTGCCCTCAGAGCCCACTTGTGACCACGGTTCTGTCGTTTCCGCAGTGTGGTCGCTTTTGCACTTGTCTTCGCTTCGGGTAGGTACGAGCTTGCTATCGTCACCAAGGTGCATTCGCAGCGTTCCACTGACGCTGATGGTCGCTGGATGGTTTAGTTATCATGATCCAAGCCGCGCCGCCAAATTGTTTGATGGCTAGTGATTCACTCAGAATGTGCGATTGGAAGCATTGCTAGAGAGACAGTTGCTGAGATGTTGTGGCATCAAGAGGGGCCGCTCAGTGAAGCTGACACATGCCCACTGCCATAGCAGGACTCACAACTGCAACTTGCTTCTCAATTCAAAAACATCCTCCAGCTAGAATAAGAATTACCATCGCCTTTCATCACAAGTTTTCCGAAGCCGTTCTGCAACAGAGAGCACCACATAAGTGAGCAGCCTTTCAATCTCAAGGCATGCTGAACCAGTATCTTGTTGCAGATCAGGCAAGCTTATGATGACCGTCGCTATCCTAGCATGCGAAGAACCCTAGAGCCGAATTCTTGGCAAGTCTCTGTGACCTCCTGAGGAGCAAACTGAGGCGACTGCTGCTCCCTCCTGCTAAAAACCCTCTCACCACGGTGCTCTTTTTTTATTAATCTAGATGACTGGTTGCGCAAGGTTTGTGTGCAGACTCCGCGGTGAGAAGGGTTGGTTTGGCTGCATTTGTGCGCCAGCAGGCAGGGATGAGGTCATCCAAGGTGACAGCACTAGCTCGAAAAATTAGGCCAGCGGCCGGAGCCTGGATTTAATAGATTGCTGGCCGCCCATAACAAAAAGGAACCAGAGATCTGGGCTGTCGCGCAAGGCTAAATCTAAAGCATGGAGCTGGTCCCGCACAAACTTGCTCCAGCTGCAGAGCAGACTGCTTTCAGCAGTGTGCATTCGCAGATTTTGAAAGCCGGACTAGATGCCATGGCAATGTCGATCACGGAATAGCCAGATCCGCCGGGCAATAAACGCGCCCAAATGGAGCTGACACAATCCAATCCAGCAAGCACGGGGTGATTTGAATTTACACAGTCTTGCCCAAGAATTTACCTCCCCCTGCAGCGAATCGATTCAGGATTACGATGATGCTACTGGATTTATGCATAGGAGGCGCAGCTTTGTGTGCAATGCGCTAGACACACGCAACAAGCAAAAGCTGCTGGAATGCTCGGGGCCCAGCAGTGCCGAGACCTTGGGGGGTGTGGTTGGAGCATGTCAGGGAAGAGCACGTCGGCCAGGTTGGGTTGCAAGGGCTTCCTTGGTCAGACCGACTTCTGGAGAGAGGAAGGTGCCAGGGTTCGGGTACTTCACATTGAGTTAAGCGAGAAGAGCTCGACAGGCGATGCTCCGATTCTGAAGCCTGGGCCTTGCAATGCGGTTTCGCGTGCTCTCGAGTGGCTGTCTCTCAGGTTTGACTTCGGCTGGCTGGAGGCTCACACGGACGAGGCGGGTCAGTGCGGGGTCCAGGCCTCTGGAATTCGTAGCCAAGCGTGTCAGGCAGTCCGAAGAGCCACAGCTTGGCTGCCGCACATCGGTGTCGAGGCAAGCCGTGTCGCCACACCCCCAGTGAATCGAAGCCTCCTGGCCTGGTATCTCATCTCGGGAACTGTCCAGGATGTCGACACCAAACCCCTCTCCACGGAGCGCCGCTGATCTGCAGACTGGTCCCGCAATCATGCAGCATGCTGGCAGGAAGGAGCCAGGATATTCCGAGCAGATGCCAACCGGACCTTTCGAAGTGAGCAGCCATCTCAATTAGTTGAGGGGTGTCATTGGTGCATGGTTGCGCATATGTGACATCCCTTGACAAGCAAGGCCGAATCGTCTCGTTTGTATCAAGCTGCTCTCCTTTTCCGCGGGGGCGCTAGAGTCATCGCAGCACCCTCTCCCTCTCTGCTCTGCTGACGCAAATCTGCTTCATGGCCCACTCGCACTCAGCAGCAGAAGTTCGGAGACTACCAGCAGTCCCTCGGGCCCTTTCCCCAGAACGCCTGAGTAAGCCTCGGCCACAGTTTTTTTGGTACTGGTACGGCGATGTCCAAGGTACGTTGCAGGCTTGCTCCTGCTCTTCTTCGACCCAGCCACCTGCTTCAAGGCCTGAGCAAGGGACCGAAGTTGAGGTCGTTTTGTTCTCCGGCTTCGATGCTTCGATGAGATGTTTTTCGGCTGTTATGGCAGGTCTTGACTGTCCTCAATGACAGTCCGAAGTACCTGCCTGGATACTGGCGTGGAGAGGCCACGTTATGCCGACAAGGGCTGCTACGCAGAACATGGCGATCACACAACACGCATGAGCCGCCAGAGGCAACTGCGTGCGCGGTTGATGGGTATGTGTGCGAGAGTTTGCTGAAGCAGCCCGTCAGACAACGCTTGAAGGACTCAGTCAGCGTGTTGTTTGCGGCTCACCGCCCGCTCTTCAATGACTACGGGAATGTCCCATGTTGACAGGAGCTTGGATTGCTCCCAGAGACCTTCGTGCAGAAGTGGTTTGCCGGGTATGGATCCAAGACATTTGGGTTGGCAAGCAAAAGCAGCCACTGTGTTGAGTAGTGTGGGATCGTGCTTTTTTCAGGATCTGCTAAGAGGATCCTGTGCTGCAGGCTGTGCATCCACCATCTCCCCTACGGCATCCTTTTCGACTTTCTGGTACCTGGGGCATGGCTTCACCCACTCCTTCGCCAATTGGCGGGTCGAGTCAGGTTGAGACTGGCTTCAGTTTTGACTGTCAGGACAACTTCTTCAAATCAGGCAACTCCTATTTGACACGAGCCCAGATGTCCACCTGCGGTGTGGCAGGCTCGAGTGCCATTGGAGACTAGGGTGTGAATCGACTTGAGGTTTCAGTTCTTTCTGGCCTTCTTTGATGAGTTTGAGGCCTCGCCTAGGGTGTTTTGTTAACTTTCGCAATGTGCTGATACTAGTGTACTGTAGTAACTCTTGTCATTGTGACAGGCCGATATCCTGAATGCCGCTAACAATCCCGAAGTCCGGCTCCAAGTTTGACGAGTTCAGGTTCGCAAACGAGGAAGTATCTCGCAAGACAGGCAAACATGCTGATACGCTTCGAATCAGCCCCGCAAGAGCGCCTGGCCAAGGTCGTTCAGGCCTAGCTGCACTACCGGTTACAGCTTGTAGTTTTCTGCCTAAGTCGAGATGGTGCTGGTGTTACGCTTGCTCATGCAGTCAGTCGCAGTGTGGTTGGTGCCGTGGTGTTGGTGGTGTGGCTGTGGCATGTCGTGGCAGTGCAGGTGGAGGTGTAGTGAATCCACAGAGTTTTTGTGGGGCTGGTTCCGATGTGGATGCTGTTTCGTAATAGCTGCCGGTTGTTGCTGCTGATGCTGGTGCTGATCGTCTTGCTGCTTATGCTGCTGCTCTGTGTTGTCGTTGCCGCAGCTGCTCTCATTGTTGCCGTGCAGGCAGCGACTGAGGAAAGGTATGCTGGGAGAGTGAAATCGTCAGCTCTTCAGAGGTGACGTGTTCATTGCTGTCGTGCGAGGTCAGACCTGTCTGTTTGTGACCTTACAAGGCTGGATGTTCATCGGTGCCGCGTTACAGCCTTCCAGGACTAATTCGACAAGCGCCGCTGACGCCGATGACAGCCGATGCGCAGAGTACCGGGCCAGGACACGCTGTCAAGAAGGCTCCAAAGTGCGAACGAAGGTATGTGGCCAGCCTGGCGAAGTTTTGACCCCCTCACAACCTCCCACCTTCTGAACAGACGACGGGCGTAACATATGCTGCAAGGCAAAAAACGGACGATGACATTACGTTCTCGGATGAGGAGGATGGATGATATGTCGCTGATAACGAAAATTGAACGGGCTCTTATGTGATATTGTGTGCACGTCTGTTGGCCAGCTTTACAAGCTTGCTGGACCGATCCATTGTCCCCTGCCTTCCAGCAAGAGCCAAGGTAGAGCAGGAGCGCAGTTCTGCATTAGGACACGTCGCAGATTTTTGTGATCGTTTTTGGACTGAAAGACCACATGCTCGACAATAAGCCTGGCAGCTCTTGACCTTTGCAAGAATTGCATGGCTTCCAGGCTCAGGCGCCGTCGGGTTGGGTCCTTCCAGGGTTGTAGGAGCGCACCAAACCTTCGTACAGCAGTATTTCAGCATGGAGAAAACCAGTCTGAACATCTTGTGTTCCTCCCTTCTCGGCACCCCGAGTTTGCTTCCGTTGCCAATGTCAGGCTCAGCACCTTGTCGTCTTGAGGCCTGTAACCATCACCAAGGCTCTTGCTCTTTTGGAATCGCCACTTTGAAAGGATGCTGCCACGGCCACTTCCGAGTCTTGGCAATGAGAAGACTCGGGCTTGGAAGCCAGGCACGGGGTGGCCTTCTTCGGGGTCAATTGAAGATGTGTAATCATGTAATCATTGCTGAGATGCGAAAGCCCCTGGCCCAAGATGTCAAGCCATGTGGTTCGTGCAACAAGCCGATTTATCAGTGCAGCGAACCTTTACCCAAGCTCACGGTGACCTAAAGACCAGAAGAAAAAGCTCGCAGCGAGTCCAAGAAGTCATGAACCAAAGTTTCCGGTTGCAGCAGGCTGGCTCATGCCAGGGCAAGTCTAGTGAGTCTAGCAAGCACTTTTCGAACTGACGCGAACCGTAAGGACGGCACATTACAATAAAATTGCCGGACAGCCGGTAGAAGCGCGAAACAGCCATGGTGCATGGTGCAGCTTTGCCTGGAGTCATTCTCTGGGTGGTGTGCTGGGCCTATGACGGAAACACACCACTTGTGCATCCTTGCAGGACGAATGACTTAGTAGTCCAAGGTTCGGCGCGACTTCAGATGCAGTGGATCCTGCCGCAACAAAGGTGCATGAGCTCACTGGGAGCCACTTGGACACTGGCATTAATGAGCTCGAGCGTGTTTCCTTGTGCATACACGGCCCCTTGTCACTTGAGATAGCTTGCCTCGCGGGGCTATGCTGAGGCAATTTCGATTCAACTGTCCGTCACTTGACATCTGAACTGGTTGTTATTGTTGGTCTTCGGAGATGACTTGTGATGAGCGGCAAGATCTGCCAGCGTCTCGAAATCTACGCGAGGGCTTCTTAGACCCGTTTCAGGCAACGGCCAGGAGATGCCATGGTTTGCGATGGACTCAGCATCGGACCGGTCAGGTTGCGCAATCAAGCCAAGTCCAGCATCCCGTCCTTCCCGCATTTCATCAGCTTGATCTGGTCGGAGTGAAAAGCAATTCCTATCAACACAAAGCATCACCGCGATCACCCGATTCTTTGCCGAACATGTCATCCAATTCAGCTGGCACATCCCGTAGACGCCACATATTCTGCAAAGGGAGCATGGTCACGACGGGTCTTCCTAGAAAGCATTGCCGAAAGCATTGTCAGCGCGGAGGCATGCCATTCTGTACACTTGGTGAAATTTGAGGTGAAGTTCCATGCGCCGTGGTGTGGGCATTGCAAAAAGTTGGCCCCGGTGTGGGAAAAGCTCGCAGAGAAGCTGGAAGGCGCAGCGCAGCTCTCGCAGGACGCGCTGAGGACGCTTTCTGCATGAGCGGACGGAGCTGCGCAGGTACGGTTGCGTTGGCCAAAGTGGATGCAACCGTGGAGGACTCGATTTTCTGCATGCGGGCTTCAAATCAGGAGTGTGGCGAATGTGGGGCCTTGAGGAACATGTTGAGTAATTAGGCTTTGCAGCTTTCTGGCCCATGCTTCTGACAGATCGCGAAGCATGGCAGGAAGGTTTGGCCTACGAATGGGAGATCGAAGGCAACTACGACCTACTATAGTCTGATTGTAGCATCTGCACCGCTGGCTCAGAGGCTATCCTACGCTGATCCTGGTTTCAGACGGCCACCGCTACAGATTCCGAGGATCAAGGCAAGCCTTCGGCTTTTGCGAATCGGTGTGAGCATGCCGGCTGGTTCGGGCTGGCAGGACACTGGATAGCTTGGAAGCCTTCGCTGCTGGAGGGTACCGGGAACTTCCACAGGCCCGGCCAATGGGCAGCGGCCCGCTTGCGCGTTCGGAAGCGACACGAGTGTGCGAGTGAGGAGTCGCCACACAGCGAGGAAGCAACAGGAGCGATCGCACTCGACAAATCTGTCTGACATGATGGCAGCGGGCAGCGGGTGTTGGCACCTTTGCCCGGAGGCCCTGACACGTTTGGGGGGCCAGACGTTGTGGCACTGTCAGGCCATTACTTGCACTTGTCGCGCAAGAGAAGCCTTCGAAGCGCTTGCCCGGAAGGTAACTTTGACTCGGTGGTAAGGGTGCCAGCCGCGACCCTGCAGGGGCCTTGAGATGCAGCTCCTTAATCCCTTGAACCTGTCCGACGGACTTCGGATCCGGCGCCAAAGGCTCGTTGTCTTCTATCTTCGTGGCTGTGGGCATTGCAGGAAAGAGCATGGAAAGAGCCATCAGATAGCCAAAGATCGCTTGAGCTTCCGGTGCCTCACAAGACTGGTACAGGGACATGGAGGGCACATGGGGCGCTTTGGCCAAAGAGCTGAAGGACAAGGCCAGAGCTACCAGGCTGTGATGTGAATGTGAGATCAGCCTCGCAGCCTTGCAGGTAGTGGTGGCGAGTGTAGATGCTCTTGCGAACCGCCCGCTCGCAGAGCTTTGGGCAGTGGAGCGCTTCCCAACCATCAAGCTTGTCCGAGGCCCTGCCCGTGCTTCGACATCCAACAGTGTAACAGGGCTCCACGTAGTCGAGTGCCAAGGGGCAGAGAAAATGAAGCCTGCACGTCCCACCATCAAAAAACGACCTGTCCCGAGGTCACGAAAGCTCTCTCCCAGGAGCTTCCTCTAGGGTCAGCTTTGCTGTTCAGTACAAGGACCCCCGAATTACCTGCCAAGCTCGGGCCCCGTGCATGGATGATTTGTGCTTCCACCTGCACGTCCCCTCCACACCCCGCAAGTTCCGTTGTTGCCGCTCGCCAAAGAGAAGAAGACAAGGCCAGGCTGAAGGCGACCGCTACAAGGTAAAGCAAACGTCTGAGAGGGCAGGTGCGGCAGGGGGCGTACGAAGGCCTTCGGTGCTAGAAGCTGAGCGACAGCACTCTGCAACTCTGACCCACGGTACCTCACTGTGCTCGTGGGATAGCTTCTGAGCACGGCTCCGTGGGCTTGGTTCAGAAGTAGAGGCAAGCGAAACTTTGACGAGCCATGAAGCTTGCATAAGCCTGACCTCTAAAGGCATTGTTTCCAAAGGCAGTTTGTGGGCCTTCAGCACTGTCTGTTCAGGTGGACAGGTGTATGATTTCGAGGGCGCTCGGACTGTGGAGGACTTGAAGGCGTGACTCGAGTGCATTCCCCATGCCCAAAGTTTTCCCTGACTGCAGTTGAAAGGCCTTCGCGCTTGAGGGATTCAGCTTGCTGGACTCCTCTCCGCTGCCACCACTGGAAGCAGGAACAGCTAAGCAAGGCTCGCTGGGCCACGGTACGTTACGTTGTGGTGCTCTCATGACAGACAAACGACATCTGACAAGATGTGAATGTGGGACTGTTGCGGTAAATAGCTTAAAACCTCATTTTACTGCCATGCTGTTGTTTACGGGTTGTGCTCATGGGTCCCTCTGAGTGCATGCTGCCTCGGCAAACGGCAGACTGTTTCGGCTATGGCGTGCCGGACTTGTTGGAATCGGATGCGCACCATTTCAGAGGCCCTGTCCCAAGGCGAAGCAAACAGAAGGTCGATGAGCGCTGGCAGCAAAGCAGGTTTGGTCGCGTCGAGCGACTTTCCTCTCGCTGCCTCGATCCCTGGGATGCCATGCTGGCTTTCCCCAGACGAGTTTACGCAGATTCGGCGGTAGCCTGAAAACTCTGGGAAGATGCACGGAGCCCCTCCTCAAGTGAACCCTCCTTTCGCCATGGCCCTGCTTTTTGGTGCAACACGTCCCCACAAGAGTCTGCCATGCGTGCAGGTGCGAAAAAGGTAGGTTTTTGTAGTTTCCAGACAAGAGCCGGTTGTGGTGCTGTGGCAAACGGTGCGTGCACTGAGTATATGGGACGCAAAGCAAATCAGGCCAAGGGATGCATGCATGCATTCGGCTTTCTGTATCGACTTTATGCATTTTCCCCACAAACGGAATGTGCAACCTAAGTTTCCTGCATCGAACGACTGCGGTTGCAGAGTAACCACAATGCCGCTGCAGGAAGCTCTCAAGACGCGAGTCAGCTGCACTTGGTCCTCGCGCTTACTGACACAACCCGGTTTCGGGAGAGCCAGCGTGTGCTACCTCACTACATTGTATTCAGGTGATTGGCTTCGTCCTTGGAATGGTCTTTGCAGGATGCCTCTGGGTTTTGTACCTGCGCTTCAGGCACGGCAATGCATCGGATATTTCATGGGCTCAACCCTGTTGACATGTTGTTTTCGGCATGACTTCACACTTCAACCACAATGAGCGCCCTTGTCCTGACAGTCGGAGTTCATCTGAGATCCAGATGCAAGCCACAAAGAGCACAAAGTCCGAATGAGCGGCATGAAAAGCATCGGTGCGTTGGCTGTGCAGGGGACAGCATGAGTATCCAGTATTTCCCTGAAGGCATAGGCTTGTGATGATGTCCGCCTGTGGTGCAGGCTCGAATCACCTCGATGGCGAGGTTTGCCGCCTCAATTCTATCTTCTTTGGTTTTGCCCATGGAAAGTGCCATCGGCAAGGAGACTGAGACGAGCTCCGGCCAGTCACAGGTTCTTCGCCAGCCAGGGTCCAAGGACTGGTGTTATCGACCGCAAGCAGCTAGCAGCTGGCACTGTCTGTGACGTATTTCGAAATTGTGTGAACCCAGGTCAGAAGCGTCCTCGACAGGCAGCTTCGACAGAGCATGGTGTCTGATCATTCCAGTCGTGGTGCGATCTGGCAGGAAGACACGAAAGGAATTTCTGCAAGCAAGTCGACTGACTTCGCTGCGTGGTATACGCAGGCCGGTCCGGACAAACACTTAAACGAGAGTGTCCAAGTCAGTGCTGCTGTTGCAGGTCATCACGCGTTCTGAAATGATTGAATACTACGACGTAAGTGGGTGCTGCTCCCCACTCGAAGTTTGCTGATGGCGGAAGTGTCAATTGCCAGCTTCTTTTGCACTTCCGGGCAAAGGACATAGGATACCTTGGAGGTGCTACATCTTGCGACCATGGTCCTTCTTCATCTGGCAGGAAGTCTCTAGATGGTTGCAGACTGAGGACAGAAGCAGCCTAAGCCTAAGCTTTGCCCCGGTGTAGCCCGCTGTGCGCTCCGCTCAGGCTTGACAGCAAGATCCAAGCGATGGGTGTTCAGAACGCTTACTTTCCATGCTTTGTGAGCCAGGAGAGTTACCACTGCAGCTGAAAACGTTTTTTTTTGAATTTTGAGCGGATTCTGCATGCAAACACACGCAGACAGGAGGCGCTTTCAGCCGAAGAGGATCATTTGGAGGGGTTTTCTCCAGAGGCTCGGTTTTGGCTCCCCACCCTCCTCCCATTCATAGTTTTGTAGCATTGACTGGAGGTCGCATGGGTTACCAGATCGGGGACTTCGAATCTGACGAAGCCGGTGCCACCTTCCGTTTTGTGGTCTCGCATGTGCTCCCTGTGGTGCGTGCAGATTGCCATACGGCCGACGAGTGAGACCATCATGTCTGCATGCTCAGCCTTTCGCTGAGAAAGAGTTCTGTTGGGATGCATCTAGCTGAGGTATCCATCGTTTGCCAAGTGGATTCGATCCCACCGGGACCTCCCCCTGTGCCAGTCTCATAAACATGTGGCAGGGATGGTGAGACATGGTGAGATTCTTTGAGCCCAGGCAGCTGAACCAATGGACCAATGTCGTGCGATGGCACCTGGCCTGAAGTCATCACGATCAGGTCTCTGTGCGAGACAGATCTGTGCAGGGAATTCAAGCAGCCGACCCCCTTTCTTCGAACCCGGGAGTTCCTCTGGCAGGTGGTCCTTTCGTCGCCACATGTTTCCACCTCGATCTCTCAGTCCTTGTGGCAGGAAGGCCACACGGCACATGCCACGGAGGAGGAAGCAGCAAACCTCGTGAGATCAGCGCTTGATCTGTACTCGTGCGTGCAGCCTGACTGAAAGCACGAATGCAGACTGCATCTACCGTAGCCGCTCCCCGCTGCCACGCTCACAAGGTACACGGACCTTCTGGCACTGCCTGTCATCAAGGGAGTGAAGTCTGTTGAGGTAGATCTCGATTTACTGGTGGGGTCGTTCCGTGTGGGCTTTTGCGGTCAGGAGAAGTTTGCAGGGAGCGTGTATACAGAAACGCTTGAAGCCTTCATTCCGGCAACTGGACGCGGAATTCAGGCAAGATCCCCTCACATCCACATGACCCATGACACTCCTCATGTTTCCGAGTAGGCAGCGACATCTCACTACCTGGGCCAGAACTTTGCCCGAATGTCCGGGCACCTGGCGGCTGTGAGTTTGAAGGAGCTGTGAAGATTCGGTGAATCTTTGCATTACATGTCTTGCAGGTTCGGAATTCGCTTCGAGGATGACTCAGGACAGAAGCAGCTTGTGCATCAGCAGGACCCTTGGCACCACAAAACACTATAAATGCACGTGAAATCGGCGCTACCAAGGACCTGTTGGGGTTTCACCACTCGCTGCATTGGCATCATGATCATGGTCATGGCCCTCCATCCCAAGCTGTCTCGTCTAATTGGGCGGCAGAACGATCGAGTTTCGAGGTCCACGGTGACGACAAGGGCCTAGTCTTGCCCCCACGCGTGGCTCCGACGCAGGCCATCAGGTGCCTAGATTGACCCCTCAGTTGCATGATGTTGCATGCCTGTGGCAGGTTGTTCTGATTCCAATTCCAGGAAACGAGGGTGCAGGCCGTGGTGGGCGAGCACCTGCTGGTTATAACTCGCTCCGCTCAGAGTGCATGTCGAGATCTGGCTTTCAGGAAGGTCATTACAACAGCCACGATCAGCACCAGCTCACGTAACAGACCAAGAAAACTTGGAAAAGGTTCAGTGTCGGCAATGAGCTGGCACAGCATCCTCGGTGTTGCTTTCGATGCTGGCTACTCTGACATTCGTGCTGCATTCAAACGGCGTGTACTGGAGGCTCATCCCGACAAGGGAGGCAGTGCACATGAATTTCAAGAGATTATGTTCGCTTTTGAGAAAGCGACATGTGCTGTACCTACCGACGGCTCCGTCGCGCGCAAAACTGCATGTGCCACACGTTCTTGCCAAGCAAAGGTGCCTGGTGCAAGCTGTCGCTTTGTCGGTCCACGATTCTCGAAGGCGCCGCGGGGCAACTGCAGCATGCGGCAGTCCTGGAACGCGAAGCAAAACACAAAGTCCACCAAGGAAGCATCGAAATCGACGGGCCCACGTTTCGGGGGTCCATGGAGCAAACAGCGCATCCTTCGCCAACTTCATGCATGTCTGCAACGACTGCCTCGTGCGGACCGCCAAGTTGCACTGAAGAAGCATCTCAAGCAGCGTCACCGTTTGGAGCTGGAGACGTGGATAACTTCACACCCGCTGCGGGACAGTGTGTGCCGGACCCCGACAGAGAGGATGTCAGGAGCTGCTGTTTTCGGTGGCGATGTTGCTGAACTTCCTGTGGGCGGAGCCGCTGACAATGGAGAGATGCTGCTCGCAATTGCAGATGTATCTGAGCACTTCGACATCCAAGAAGTTGATGCAGATGTCGTATCCGACACTGGCCAACGACTGCGGAAAGGGATTATTAGGCGGAATATCAAGCGCCAGAAATATGACCCGCTGTATGTCGTCCTTGTCGTAATCAACAATCTAGAGCTGTTCTCAGCAGGCACTAATGACTTGGCAAAAGCAGTTGACCTGCACATTGCACTGACATCACTCAAGCGCCGTATCACCAAGAATCCTGCTCTGATGGCGGGATTCGATGCTGAAGTGGTACGGGCTCTGCAAGAGCAGGATATTTCCGCCAGCCAGGCTCGCTTGAGTCTGCGCATTCACTTTCCGGTGCATCACTGGACAGGCCGGCACCTACGATCTCCAACCTACTCCTGGGCCGAGGTGCAAACGACACTGGCAGTGTGGAAGACGATGCAAAGAGCCAGACTTGAATACAGCGGGTTAGGTGCTAAGAAGGGCGGCGTCTTTTTTCTTCACACGCCTGCTTCTGTCGAAAGCGCGTGGCAAACGATTTCAAGGATTTACATCGACACATGGGTGGCCGCGGGTTGGGACGATCAAGACCTCCAGACTCAAGTGGATTCGATGCGAAGTGCTCACGCCACTAGCAGTTGTTGCCAGCTGACTGTGTGGAATCAGTACAGGATGGAGTGCGAGGATCGCAGGCACCGTCTGCTTGAGCGTTTAATGCGGCAATCAGAAGCGCGAGAAAGACGAGAACTGGCCCGAGAAGACCGACGAGCCGCGCAGATGGAAGTGAAGACTCGCCGACTTCTAAGCCAGGTCGATCGCTTGATCGTTCGATTGGAAGACAGAGAAGCAAAAGATACAGTGACAAAATCGTGCCGTACAAAGAGATGTGTGCGTAGGTGGACAACAGTTCCATGAGGACGAAGAGGGGCTTGGACACTCTCTCTCGCTCTCTCTATCGTGGATGCTCGTTGGCTTCAGTTGTCGCACAAGGGCTGCGCTGGAGAAGCAGGACCAGTGAGGAATGAGTTACACCTCGACATTGTCGGCAGGCTTTTCCGTCTCTAGCAGGCCTACGTCCACATCCGGTGGAACATGCTACTCGTGAGTAGCAGGTTCAACCCTTCGCTGTCGGCGCAGCCGAGCGACAAAAAGCGCGCGGCAGCCGCTTGGGACTGGGCTGTCATGTGCGCCGTTCGGCAGTCAGTTTCCGTAGGCATCGAAGCCCGGTGCAGCGAAGTCGCGACGACTCTCAAAGAGTGCGGCGTTCGAGCTGAGGCCGTAGCAGGGCCGTAGGGCCGTCGTTGGACGCTTCAGCTTCAGCTTTGAAGGTGGATGCGCGGCGGAGCTATACGCCAGGCTGGAAGTTCAATTGGCCAGAACCCTTTTTGGCCTGCAAGGCCACAGTGCCGAGACTATGACATTCTGCGGAGCGTGCCGAGGTGGGAGATGAAGGGTGTCCCCCTGCGGCTCGAGGTGCGACCTTGTGAGATCTCATTCGGTTTGCGTGGCCGCGAGCGGCCGACCTCGGGCAGGTTGGGCCCAAAGACATGGCCCAAGGAACCTGTCGCATGGTTTGCCGCTTTGACGGCTCCAAGAAGGAGCTCCGAGCTGCAAGCGCGCTGCGAAGCCAGAAGTGGCTGCGAGCCTCGAGGATGTAGAGCAGTCCGAGCTTGCCACTTGCATCCCTGCAGAGCTCAAGCGGATCCATGAAGCTATGCTCGAGAAGGCTGGGTCTATGGCACAGAGACCCGGGGTTCTTGCCAGTTTCAAGGCGACCCGGGAGAGGGATGAGGGAATTGCTACCGTCGCGCGCTGGGACGAGGTGGTCTGAGGCATTTGTCGCAAGCTGTCCGCTTTGGCTACTGCCGAAAGGTCGTGCCAATGCTAAACCGGCGGAAGCTGATCATGGCCCCGTGGTGCGAGTCTGCAGAGCCTCCGCCTTAAACATCTAAGGGATGATCCCATAATATTCCTGGGGGTCAGGCCTTTTGCTCTCGCACAGGTCAGAAGTGGAGATTAGAAGTCGAACGAAGGAGGCTGGCGGACCATGTTCTCGTCATGACGGCATCAGCAGTGTCACCGAGAGGAACTTGAGACTGGTCTGCCTGCGGTGGGATCCCTATCGACTTCAGTTCATAAGGGCAGTGCGTGATGCTATCGCATGGCAATCATGGTGCAATGTTGGAGCAAGTTGGTAAATCTCGAGTCTCGACGGGTTGGAAAGCACACACGATGCCCGGACACGACTGACCATCATGGTTGTGTGTGTTGGTGAGGCTGCTAATGTCGCAAAGCCACTCCTGGTGCGCCCAAACAGCGCCCATGACTCGCTTGCCACTGCAGTGCTCTCTGCTCGCCCATGCAGACTGGCGCCATGAAGAGTTTATGCATTCCGCCCGGGCCTCCACATGTGGCGAGCATGCCTATTTTGCTGCCGCTGACACTGTGAAGCATTCTGCTCGTGAGCACAAGGCTGATTCAACCTCCAATGCCACCCGGAACAAAGTGCTTCGTGACCGGTGGTCCTGCAAAGAGGCGATGGCCAGCTTGACACTGTTGCTTCTGTCTTCATGGCAACAGGCTTATCATGGACATATTCGTAAACTTAGCAGTCATGGAGGTGGACTCTGTTCGGTCGCAGCTACTGAGAAGAATCGTGCGAGTCGCACAGGTCTTAGGGTAGCAGAGCAGGGCCCAAAGACTCGACCCTGCGTTGATGCTTTGAAACAAAAATTGCCATGCATTCCGCGTGGACACGCTGTGGTTCAGGTCTCGCGTTTGTCTGTAGGTAGTCCGCTTGCTCGGCCCCTCCAGTAAGCCCAGCACCTACTAGCAGCACGCCAGCACGATCGCCCGTCTCTGCAGCCATCGAAGCCAGTGCTTCCTGTTTCGGGGGGCTTCAGATGACCCTCGCCTTTATCTATGGCATCCTTTGTGCATGTGCAGCTAAGCAGGAGTCCCGAGGCTGGAGTGGCAGGAATTACTACACACGCATGACGGTGTCCTCTTGTGAATGCAGGAGGGGCATCCCTGGGAATGCTTAGTCTCTCCAGAATTGGCGGACTCCTCAGCTTGCCAAGAATCCCGTATCAGTGGCCCATTTAAAGCGAGACAAAGGCAGCGCAGTTGCGCGTGGCCGATGGATTGAATAACTGGCTCGTGGCATGGGGAGTTTCTGGCCGAGGCAGATGTGTGTGGAGATTGCGCTTTGCCATCTTTCGCTTGTTCGAATGCACAGGAGACCCTGTCCTTGCTGAGGCATGGAGGGAACCGGATAGCTTTGGATTGTAGTGTCTGAACAACCCTTGAACCATACGAGACAGAGTGGTCAACCCATGCGCGCAAGCGGGCAACTGGTCTTGTTGCCTTTGGGCATGGCGACGAAAGTGTACCAAGTCGGCGCCAGCCTGCCAAGGCGATCGAACAAGCTTTCTTCCACGAAGAAAGCCTGTCTCCAAAAACCACGACCCATTTCACGTCCGTGCACCTGTCATGCGGCTCTCCAAGCCAGACGTCGCGACGACTCTTGAAGGTCTTTCGCATTGCACGATTGAATGTAAAACATGAAGGCTGCGATGTGTGCGAGCTGGAACAGTAGCTACGGGCAAAGCTATGCCAAAGCTGCTCCACTGGCGCATCTACTAGCACGATCACTGCCACCAGCGCCACTATCATCCCCGGACAAGGTGCAGATTTTGTTGAACGCCAGTTACTCCTTCGGGGGCTTCGGGTTTGCTTGCCATGCATAGCAGGGTTTTACATCAGGGTTTGCCATGCATCATCTCAAAAACAAGATTTTTTTGGGACCCAATCGCTGTTTTAGGGTTGGGGGGTTGGACACCCCTCACCTCCTATGAGTCACTAGGGCGTGCCATCGCCCATTTCTGTCCAGGTTGATGATCTCTGGGACGGGTCATCATGCATGATGAAGCTGAGGAAAACTGGAGTCTTGCCGAATCCAGGCAGAAGATGTTTTTCACATGTGTCGTCCACATGCGGGACGCGTTCGACATGTCACCACTTGACGAACACGACATGCCAGTCAGCACGTGGAGGCTTGGGTGTGTGCCCTGACCCACCACCACGACGACCACGACGACAACTACTACGACGACCGACAACGATGGCGACAACCCCAACCACCAACACGGATCCAAGCACGATGGTCGCAAAGCATGTAAGAGGCAGTTAAAGTGGGATGGAACGAGCTATCGACCGCTCCCACAGCGTCTTACACATTCAGTAGCCGTAGACCATGGTAGCGGACACTTGTTCTGTCCACATTCAGGAAAACTCTGCCGGACCGGTAGTGCCGGGTGTGCCACGGGCGCTGCTTGAGCAACCGGCATGTCCTTGACGTGTGTTTCTTTGAAACATGGGACAGTCATTCTTTGCATCCGACCTCAGATGTGACAAAGGTTGCGCCCGCTCGAAAGTCCTCCACGGCCCTGGGGTTTCAGGACCGCAGCGGGAATTGGTTCTTGTGCGCCATGCAGCCAAGTTGCAGAGGTGCTGGTCGGCTCCTCTGTGGCACCCTGGCATGGCTTCCAGAGCCGGTCGGAGTACAAGGTCAGCAAGTCGGCTTTTCAGCTAAAGTCACTAGAAAATTTTCGGTGCCGCAGGTTTGCAAAGTGTCGGAGGATGCCTTGCCCATTGTGGAGAGCGCAGTCCTCGAGGCCTCCGATGTTGTGGCTGTAGAACAGATTTGTTCAGGTTTATCGAGCACTTTTCTTCAGTGCCCCTGCACGCTACAGGAGGCTAGAGGCAGGCCCAGGTGTGGCCAATTCCTATGCAGGTTGATGCAGATGACTCTCTACCGTTCCAAGCTCAGAGAGAGACTTCTTACCGATTGACAGTTGCCCCGTTTCTTTCAAAGGTCTGGTGCGCTTGCCCACTTGCACATGAAGTTGAATCTTCATCGTGCAGCAACGTCCCCAGGATGAGCAAAATCTTGAATGTTATCGGCGTTTCCTTTCTCCTGTGCCATGTTAATGCGCCACTTTGATTCTGTTATTCAATCTTCCATGCCACAGTCTCTTCCGTGGGCGACCTGTCAGACATATCACAGGAAGCCCGGAGCTTTTTGTGAATGGGTGATCCGAACGTGTTGCATGACACCCAGTAGAAATATGCAGAAAGCAGGATGAGACTCTTCGGATCAGCAGATGTACGAAGCCGCAGACTGGATCACTTTCCGGACTTTCCCACCCACTGAAACAGGATCGGGCAACGGCATCTTGTATAGGGATTCTAGGGTCTAGAGGCTTTTCGAGCCATGTAGCGTGCCCAGGCTGTTTCCCATGTCATGCGCCTAGCACGAAGCATCAACACTGTTTGGGACAGGCCATTAATCCTGTCCAGGCTCCGAAACACTTGTAACAAGTCGTTGTGCTGCATGATTGCAGTTTGGGGTTCGGACATGAAAAAGTGTTTCTTGCGTGGAGCTTGGTCTTGCCCGCGGCACCAAACTGCTGTTTCTATGAGCGCTAGGTGGAAGTGTTAGCAGATGAACCAAAGACGGGAATCCGAGAACTGCGAAGCTTGAGTTGATGCCCTCAAGCCTGCCTAGAGCTCACCGTCCAAACGCTGATGAGCTTCAACTCCAGCCAGCTGGAAATTGGTTCACCATGGCCAGAACGCATTTTACGCACCACGTTATGGGCGTGTCATATCTGAAAACTCCTGGAAAGCACGATGATTTTCATTGAAGGCCAGCTAAGAGGGCCGATTGTTCACGTATGTCCAACGATCAGTGTGCTCGAGTGCTAGAGACCTCTGCGTAGTCGAGTAAGTCCTCGATTGCTACCCATGATCTGCCTAGTTGAAGACATACCGACATACCGTGGTTCTCGCTGCAGCCAGCCGCAAATTTCCAACACCACATTGCGCTACAAGCAGACAGCATTCATGCGGGGTTGCTGCTAATTACACATATTACACTTTGTGGGGGTCGTGCACGGGTCAACATCTTGAGCCGCGTCAGAAGAAACATGACCATGCGGGCCAGGTGCTTTGGCAAGGCCCAAGTCATGAAGACCAGGCACCAAGCTTGGTGTGCAAAGCAAACTGTTCCAAACTCTGTGTCGTCAGGATACGGGCCTGATGTGGAGTGCCGCTTCAGTGAAATTTGCAGGTCCAAGCCACAGCTCCTGTTCTGAACGATCAAGTGTTTCGCAAATGGCGCATACAAGGATTTTGTGGCCAATCCGATGCGTCTGAACCAATGGATGACTGGCAGCAGCCGTCCCAGCATCAGGAGTCTGCATTCAAACTCTGCATTTTCCCCCAAAGCCCCACACCTTCATCTTCCCAGTTTTCTGTGTGATGTGTCATTCGCAAGGTCCGCAGCGTGGCGAGGCTGGCTCGCAGCCCAAGGCATCAGTTCTTGCGATGATCATCGTGCAGCTTCACAAGTTTCTTCGGAAGAATCAGGCAATCGCTTACACTTGACCACTTTGTTTTGGTTTTGTGTTGGTATTTCAGAACACTTTGTTCAAGACATCTTGCGATGTGGCCGGGATCGCGCGAATGATTCGTTGTGATTTGTCATCAGCGTTGTCATCATGGTTTTTGCTTCATGTAGGTGCGCCTTTCGTCTTTATCCCTACAATACCTTGCACGGTTTTTTCAGACTGTTTGCTTTGCTTCCTGTGTTTCTGAATGCTTGTGTATTTTTCTTGAGAGTCCTTTCTTGCTGCCAGATTTGTTTCCGATGTTTGCTGTAGTACAGCTAGCAAGTGGATAGGCGAGTGCTTCCATCATGCTCCGAGGTCAAGGTGACCATTCCGTTTCCGTCGTTTTGAACTCTGTCGAAGTGTGGCTTTTTCAACCTGTCCATCTCCGTCCCGTAAGCTGCGGCACACTTTGGACGTGTTGTGGCACATTTTGCTGTTCCCCCCCATCTCGCGGCGAGGGCTCGGTCGGGTGGATCGACAGAGTTTGCAGCAGCTCGTTGAGTTGAGTCATTTCAATCGTCCGGCCAATGCTGTGAATGATGACAGGGGTGGGGTAGGAGCAGCTACGACCGAAGACGTGCGTTTGTGAATTTCACTGTGCGCGCCGGCGAACAGACCAGAGGGATGTACATGCGGCAGCATATGCACTGATGCATCTATTCTTGAGGATGTCGAAAGAACACTTTCATGTACGGAGGTTGTGGCATGGTCAGCGATTCTACTCGCCTGAAGTGGTCCTGTGCAAGATCAAGCGCGAAGGCAGAACTGAGGCTGTTTTGCACTGGCGAGCAAGGCTTACGCTTCATGGTCGCAGAGGCTCGTCCCGGCTTCGTTGGGCTGCCGACACTTGCTTGCCGCCTATGCAAGGCCGGGAGGGACAAACAGGGACACGTCATGCCTTTGTAGTCTCTCTTAAGACTCGTGGTTCTGGGCTGCTGCTTCGATGTTTTCCTCGTCGTGATCTCCCTCCTCATTTTCATGGTCTGATTCTCGTTCTTCTCTACAGCAAGCCATTGTGCTGTTGGTGCTGGAATTGTACTTCAACACCAAGTTCGCAGTTATGTGGCTTTTTCGCTTCAGTAGTTAGGACCGGTTGTGAAAATACAGAGGTCCTATTATTCTCCAGCTTGTAATCCATGTTAAATAGATCAGCGCGTGACTTGTACCGCGGTTCTCATTTGCCTGGGTACTACTCCCAAAATATCTTATTTTGGGAATGAGCAGTTGGAAGCACGTATACATGATCCCGGTTCTCGGTTCACCGA